AAAAGGGGGGGGGGGGGGCGTTTTTTATTTTTCTATTTTTGTCTGGTCGGGGAAGGAGACATGTCTGTTTTTCTATATAGGTATAACACATATAGGAGGCGCCTTCTGCATATGCACTATACCTCCCACCAATTAAAGTTCAAATTTAGCGAATGTATTGACCGCGCTATACCTTAACGGATAAACGTACCATTAAGATATAGCGCGGTGAATAATCGTATTATATATAAAATTATATTTTTTTACCTATTTTTGTGCTTTGAGTCCAAAAACACTAACATTTTGGTTCAGGATTCTTTTAATTGGCATGCACAGATGTCAAGTAATGACGTCCCCTAGCTTTTTGTCAAGTTTCTAGATGTAGCGTGCGACTCTGAACCTCGTACATTCTTTTTCTTTTTCTTTTATATATAATATAATGTTCGTTTTCTGTTCCGCCAGATTACCAGAAGATCGCCATTTCTCCACTTTGTCCAAAGCAATATTCTTCTTTGTCCACCATATCTCTTGTTCAGGTAATTTGTCTCTCTTTTTCTTTTGCTTTCTCTATGTTCAATTATGCTGAAAACTGTCTTTACAGAATTTTCAATATGGTAACTGTTGTTCTTTGGCTGATAATTTTGATTTTCATATTTTTGGAGAAAAAGAGGAACTGAGATTTTAGGGTTGAGATTTCAACTGCAACATAAAAAGATTGATTCTTCCTCTAGTTTATTTTTGTTCCCTTATATTTGTCTGCTTTGGTTTTGCCATGTTATAGAAAATAATTTTTTCTGCACTATTTTGAATTTTCCAAATACATGCTTTGTTTCACCCTTTTTTACCCCTTCTCCTTTTTGTTGCTGTTGTTTGCTAGCGGTCTATACTGCTATGTTGGTATGTATGAGCAGGCGCATATTTGTATATTTCCAGAGTGCATTTGAGATGTGAATCTTTTTTTGTTGTTCAGATTTTGGTGATATCCACTTCTTTGTTGTTATTTTGTGATTTTGGTGATTGTCACTTTATCAATTTATAACAAATGTTATACTGTAATAGAACAATATCTTGTTCATGCCTTTTGCTGAGATTTAACTATACTTTTGTTTTTCTTTTGTGCTTTCTGAATTTGGGTATCCCTTGTGGCCTTTCACTCACAGATTTTAATCAGTTGCTCATTATTTCAGCATAATGGGGCGTTTAAGTCGGACTATCTTTGTGGGCAATCTTCCCGGCGATATTCGAGAGAGTGAAGTAGAAGATTTGTTTTACAAGGTTAGTTGGAAAATATTACTCACAGCTGGAAACACGTGTTTTCTGTGCTCACCTGGTTATTACTAAGGATTTTTGCATCTACTTCTATTTGTTTCTCCTATTTGTTGGTTTTCTTCTCTTAAGTGTAATCTTTAACTTGGGAGGGTTGGTGGAATGACTTGTCTTTTTTGGGTGGAGAAGGAGTGAATTAACTCAGAGTGGATGTTTGGGTTAATCTGAAAGGCTCGTTCTAGTAGGTCGTTTAACTGTGACCTAGTACAGTTGAGAGGTTCAAGTTTCTTGTTTCTATTGTGATGAAAGACTGGGTTGTCTCTCTCTGTTTTACTAGAGTGCTAATTAATTTTCTTGCATTCTCCTCTTTAATTGCTCTCCGCATTACTTTCATCCGCCCATTGTGTTTAAGATGTTAAATCAGCTACAAAATTCTTAAATCATCTTTCCACTTAACATATTCTAAATCGGGATTTTAATCCAAAGGACATACTGCGCATTGGTGCATGATAAAGTTATGCACTTGAAATTATTGTGAATTCTGTTTGGAGTCAGCATCTCGTTCAAGCTGATATTTATTGCATTTAATTTCTAAAAGATTTCAGCAAATATGGCAAAAATATATTCCGTGAAATTAAACATCGAAAAATGTTTATTTCCGTAGCATATATAAATTTATTTTTTGGTGTGGGACCACTTCGTTTAAGTTTCTTTCTCTCTCTCTCTGTTTGGGTATATATGACAAATATGCTAATATTTGAAATTGTCTGGGCGAATCTCTCACAGTATGGACCTATTGTGCAAATTGATCTGAAAATTCCTCCAAGACCACCAGGTTATGCATTTGTGGAGGTGCGTTCATTGTTTGGAATTGAATGTCAGAAACATAGCTAGTATCAATGTCGGACAACACCTATTCTGCAGTGCGTTGTTCGTAATGTCAGATAGATCTCATCTATTCCATTCTTTATTGAGTTTCAGTTTGAAGATCCTCGCGATGCTGATGATGCCATTCGTGGATGTGATGGATACAAATTTGATGGACATCGATTACGAGTTAGTTGTCTCTCATTTGCCTTCATTTCACCATGGTCATGATTTAGATCTTCGATTATCAGAATTTTTTGTTGTCTTTCATAATCTATGTAGGTTGAACTTGCACATGGTGGGCGAGGATCATCATCGTATGATCGCTATAGCAGTCACAGTAGTGGGAGTCGTGGTGGATCTTCAAGACGATCGGATTATCGGGGTTAGCCTGGTTTTTAATATTCTCTCATATTTCTATAATTGCTCAAGGTTAGACGAAGTTTTATAGTCAAAACCAGCTGCTAAGAATTAAATTTTGCAGTTCTCGTCATTGGACTACCATCTTCTGCTTCATGGCAAGACTTGAAGGTTGGCATGTGATATCATGTTATGATTTTTGCAGATTTCTATGCTTTCTCAGGATTTTGATTAGTTTGGCTTAAACTTGGCCTTGGCAGGATCACATGCGTCGAGCCGGAGATGTTTGTTTCTCTCAAGTCTACCGTGACCGTGATGGTTAGTAGATTCTTCCTTGTGACAGTTATTCGGTTTGCTTTTATTCATTCTCATAGCAATGATATGGGATGTAAATATGCGCTGGTAAACAGATTTTGCTTGTATAAGAATGATAATAGTTTCAGCAATATATATAAGGGAAGTTAGATACACAGTGGTGGATATCATAACATGTAAGTTAGGTAGGTTGCTAATTTTTCAAACTGGTGTATATCAGAAAGAAAGACCCATAACACAGGGCTTTTTGACTGGAGGTCGCTTGTTATATCTTCAGCTTATATGATAACAACAACAACAACCCAGCTTATATGATAACATTAATTAGAAAAACAATTCTTGGTGCTAAAGCTTTTAATGATGATTTGCGAACCTCCCTAGATGTTCCCAGTTCCTAGAAATTTCTAACTTGATTATATCTTCTCTTTTTTCCTTCTTGTATTTAGTGATACACTAAGTGGACCATCCTGCTTTCAGACGTGATATCTGATATGAGGTATCTCCTGCCAGAGCATTAGTCAATTCTGTTTTTGACACTATAACGTTTTATACTTCACATTTTAGCACCAGCACTTTGGTCATGTCCATGCGTAATTATTGTCTAATGTGAGGGGCAAAAGGTGTTGAAAACTGTACATAAACCTTCAGTCTATCACCAAAATTTCTATTACTGATTTTTGGAGAACTTCTGAAAATTACTATTAGTGTAGGTACTAGCACTCTCCTTTCAGTGACTGCAGCGAATAATAATCGTATATGCTCTTCAATCTCGTAAAATTCTGTCCTTAATCATTTAAATAAGGCGAAATGGCCTAAGGGCCGCTTAAACTTGTAGTCGTTTGTCATCCCGGTATATAAACTTACACTTTTCCCATTTTAGCACATTAACTCATATATTTGCACACTAATAAACACATATGATTGCGCGTGGTCTTCAAGCGCTATGACACAAATGATATGTCACATACTTATCCTCTTACGAGTTGTCACGTGTAATTTGTGGGTCCCACTTTATAAAAAATTAATTTACTCACAAAAGTTTTATTTTCCGTCTATTCTCTTCGTCTAGGACGGCATTGAGCCACCATTTTTCATAGTTAATCCACCATTTTCAATCGTAAGAATCCAAATTTGATCCTTTAGATTCTAATCAAACCTCAGTAAAAATAAAAGCCTAAAAATGGTTACAACACTCTAGAAAAGACCCCCAAAATTACACCGGCGAGATTGCCGCCGGTAAAAATGGCAACCATACAAAGAATCACACAAAACCGTCACTGCTTCACCTTTTTGCCACCGGCCTGACACTTTCCTTACCACTTTATCTTCATCACCTCCTTTTCAACAAGCTCACTTACCATAGACCAAACCGATCTGAAACGCCACCATTTCAATTTCAATACTCTTTGCCAACAAATTTAAAAAAAAGAAAAGAAAAAGAGAAATACTCTTTGCCAACAAATTAAAAAAAAAAGAAAAAAGAAAAAAGAAAAAAGAAGAGACGAGCAATAACCAAATCGATATAATTTTCTGGTTGTGGAGGAGTTTGAGGGTGTGGGAAAACAAAGGGAGGGAGGGGAGATGAAGCTGGGAACGGGAATAAGGATGAAGAATTAAACAGGGGAGGGGTTTCTTCATTCTTTTCTTTATTTTTTCCCATGATTTTATCTTTCCTTTTTTATTTTATAATTTTTTTTAATCAAATTAATTCATTCACGCGCCTAATTAACGTGATTTGCATCCATTTTGGCCACGTCAACTATTCTGTCGCCATGTAAGCATAGTCAACGGTCAAACGTGTTTATTAGTACTCAGTTCATCCACTAAAGGTGCTCAAATGGGAAATGTGTAAGTTTATATACCGGGATGACAAATGGGTACAAGTTTAGGTGGCTCTTAGGCCATTTTGCGTTTAAATAAAGCCTGTATTTTCTTAGATTTGGCAAGAATTGTCCATATCACATATTTACAACAAAAGTTTTCCTTCCTATGTATCTTCTTAGTAGATTGCTCAGCCTGATTCCACTTAAAGAGAGCAGGGGCATCCTTGCTGTTATTTCAACAAACAGACAGTTGATGTGAAGGGAGGATTTACTTCACAAATCACACATGCCCTTTTTTAAAAGCACATTCCGTATGAGCTACCTTAATCACTTTGAAATAAGTCTAGTTTCCTATAGGTTGGGCAAATGACTCAGATTTATTTTTCTTCTTTATATCTTCACAACATTCTAACTGCTAAAGCTTAATTGACTGCTTTTGACATACATAATGGTATTGTCTTTTCACATGGAAATGCATAATCGTGTTAACCAAACAGCATCACTAAAATGGTTCAGGAAGTATCTTTAGCATGCCTGTTAAGCTAAGTTGCTCGGACACGGGTGCTGGTGTCCCACACGGTTGGCGGATCTAGAGTTCGGATCCTTCGAGATAAAAATTCTAAAATTCGGGGAAATGGATCCTAATACGGATACGGGTGATGGGATCCAGCTAAAAATAATTCAAACATATAAAAATATAAATATATCTCTAAATTATGTGAAATTTTGTGGAATACTTACGTATAGCTTGTAAAGTATGAATTTCTTTTTTATTTTCAAGTTGTAGATAAGTAAAGGATTGATTTCCCAAATAATGTATTTTTTTCAAATTTACCCTAGTTTTGGTTCTAATTTCGGGAATCAAATTGTATCTCGTCTCGAATTTTTCCATCCGTCGTGGTCAAAGTACCCAAAATTGTTTGACCAGATCTGGTACGGATCTCATATCCACACCCATACTAGTGTCGTGTCGATAAGGGTGCGGCACCTAAACTGCCGTGTCGGAGCAACTTAGCTGTTAAGAAGTAAAAAAAGTCAAACAGATGCCCGGAAAATGTTCTGGAGAACAAGTAATATCATTTGAAATATTATTCGAGGACAAACCTTATACTGCCCAAGATCAGCCAAAAAGCCGAGGGTTCTGTCAGTTAAACTAAATAGAACTAGACATGTGTAAGGCTTCTGTGATTTGAAGAAAAGATCTTTCTTGTACCCAATCCTGATTTTGAACCCAGTAACCTGTAAGCTTTTCAATGCAAGTCGTTTGTGTCAACAGTTGACAAGTTTTGCAGGTGTAAGAGGAATTGTGGACTACACCAACTACGACGATATGAAATATGCGGTAGTACTTTAATCTGTTAATCATCATAGGTTGTTTCTTCTGTAAACATAAAGGTTCTTCTTTTGTTTCAGTGCATCCTTTATTTACAATTTTTTAATATTCTTTCTTGCAGATAAAGAAACTTGATGACTCTCTGTTTCGCAATCAATTTTCTCGAGCTTATATACAGGTTTGTTTTCTGTTGGAGGTGCAAGCCCTGATTCAAATGCTTCTTTTTGCGCTAGGTTAACTATTTTTTACTGCCTTCAGGTAGGGGAGTATGATAAGAGGCGTAGCTACTCGAGGAGCCCAAGTCCATATTATTCAAGAAGCAGGAGTTATTATGATAAGAGGCATAGCTACTCGAGGAGCCCAAGTCCATATTATTCAAGAAGCAAGAGTTACTCAAGAAGCAGGAGTCCCCTACGAAGCTATAGCAGCCGGAGCAGAAGGTTTAGTGACTAATTTAACTTTTGAGGTTGCGTTCAACATTTATCATTTTACTAACGGATAGCCGGCAGCGTATCTCCTAGGGGTAAATATACTAGTCGCTCTTCATCTGTATCACTTCCAAGGTCCTTTCCCCCTGCTCGCTCTGTTTCAAGGTATCTTTCTGGTTTTACTTCCAAAACTATAATTGTTGTGAATTTATTTTTTACTATATCTTATAGGGGTTCTGTTGAAACAGAAATGTGCATTTAGTGACCCTTGACGGTTTCAAATGTCATGATATTTGAGATTGTCCTGTTTAAATTCTCAAGTCTGTGATGAGCTTTCTATATAAGTTGGTATTTGCTGCCAGTTGATAATGTTTATCCAGTGATTTCTTCTTTCTTCAATAACTGTTCTAGATGAGGAATTCTTCGTTCTGCTTATATTATTTTTTCCCTTGATTTGCTTCAACGCCCATCTGTATAGCTGATGATTAAATTTTGAAGTTTTCGTTTTGACGTGCATGAAGCTGAAGCAGTCCTCCTTTGTCACTTTATCTGTGATTTCTGCAATCTAAATTATCTCTTTTCATTCTTTTGATGTTATGAATTGTCAACTGAGTTGAGAAAAAATAATATGAAAATACAACCATGGTGGAAGGAGATCAGTGGTGGGTACCTACAGCTTGCATACTTAACATGACCTTAGAAATAAGATTGTACATTTTGGTGTTATTAGAATGCCAGCAAGGTGGAAGCCGGGGCGGATCTACATGGTAGCAAGGGGGTTCTCTTGAATCCCGCGTAAAGTTTTATTGATTTTATGTGTGGAATTTCGCAAAATATCACTAATACCCGAGATATATGCTATCATGGTAAAGGGTGTTCAATATAAGTGACATGTTCCGCGTTCGCATCCTGTCCGCCGTTTATGCACTATTTTTCATTTAGTGTTTCACCTTTTTTTTTCTTCATAATTTTATCAAGGGACCTGCAGAGTCCTTGTTGCTTTCCAGCTTTTGCTTCATTTTTTCAATAAAAAGCTCCACTACCTCCCCCACTCTTCATTCATTTGAATAAAGCCTCACGTTTCTTTTACTTTTTTTTGGATTATTTCTTCTTCTTTTTCTTTTTAAGTACTATTATTTTATATGTAAATGTGTTATTTTTTAGCTGAGGTATGTATCTCAACATCTTCCAACAGATTTTGTTATTATACTTTTAGTTAGGATTTTATTTATTATTTATTTTTTGTAATCATCAGTAGTTGTCTTTTTTAAAAACTATTTTACAATTTTTGCGTTTCTCATTAGCATTTTAAATGTAAAAAGATAAAGTTACTCGACTTACTAATGTATTAATTTTGACCTAACATATTAATTTATTTTAAACACAATTCCCTTGCTAAAAATTCTGGCGGATGCACTTGTGGAAGATGTAAGATGTAGATGGTTAGTACTTTCAAGTTAAGCAGGTAGTGCTAGAAAGCAATAATAAAAGGTCATCTCCGTCCTCACTCCTCACTGGAAAACACATTTGGAAATGTGCAGATGTTCAAAGTTATCCAGTTTCTTGCCTTTGTTACCTTTACTCGTCAATCACTTAGATCTATCTTTTGCTTATGTTAAAAAGGTATTATTTCTCAGTTCTCAACTCAATTTAGAGTTGCAAGCAATAAAATTTGGTTCTTGCTTTGCTGGTACTGAGCACATGTTCAGCATAACACAAACAAGTGTTTAGAGAGGTTCTTTTTTACTTTTTTTAGTGTGTGGGGGTGGGGGGTCAAGGTGCTATGAGAGTGGGTTCAAATGGAGAACATGATATTTGNTTTGACATCTGAAGCTCTCTTGTAGAACTTAATTTAATTGAATAATCCAAATTTAAGTAACAGAGTGATGTGGTATCACATATTAATCAATTACTGCCTTTGTCCTACTTTATATGACACATTTTCCTTTTTAGTTTCTTCCGAAAAGGGTAACTTTTGATATTTGAAAAAAATCAATTAACTTTAAACTTCTCATTTTATCCTTAAAGAGATGGTTTATAGCCATACAAATATTTGTGACTTGTTTTAGACCATAAGTTGCAAAAGTCGTTTCTTTCTTGAACTCCATCAAACACCGCCACATAAATTACTACAGAGAGTACTACTTTAATCTTCTTGTGGTTGTATTGGTTAGACTTTGCACGTATATACAGTTTAAGGGTTGAAAAAGTAAATTATTTAGTGCTTAATAAGTGGTGACACCTTACTTGTACTGAGAAGAGTAAGGAGTCGTTTGGTTCAATCCTGGGATCGACAAGGTTATCCCATGGGATTATGAATCTTGGGATAGAAAAGATTATCCCGTGGGATCATAAACCCACCTCCTGTATGGGATAGCTAATCCCAAGTTTTTGGTATAAGTTTTATCCTGATTTGAGTTAATACCTACAACGAAACTCTGGATAAAACTAATCCCAAATGCTAAACTGGGATAACCACCCAAATCTTTGTAATTAAACGGTCACTAAACGTGGATGTAACTATTTACGGAGTATTATATGTCCGAAGGTTTCTTATAAGAGAGTGGACCCTAGTGTGGTAGGCCAAAGTTCAATTTGAAGAATATGGAAATCTTCTCTCGCGTTTTGTACCATAATACACAAATACCTTTTTAAACAATGTTCTTTGTCGAACTATGTTAGAAGATCAAAAAGAAGGTGCAGTCCAGTAATCATAGTTATCTTCTGGTTGTCGATGAGTTTGACTTATGAACTTCGTAAATGGGTTAGACGTTAGAAGTTGCTCTAGAACAATTTGTATCTCCTCTTGGTGGATGAAGTAATTTGTTCTTCTCTTACTAATGTAGTTTTAACATTGGAACTCTCAAATTGAGAATTTGTCTTCAAACTACAAAAGAAAAAATGAATCCGAAAAGAGATCCTAAACAATAACAGTTTGAGAGTGATGTGATGAATTTCTTTTCTAGTTTGTTGTTCGGGAAGAAATAAGAAGTTATAGGTCATCTCGTTCTATTTTTGGGGTTTATTCAGAATGGACTTTTCAGCTCCATGGTTATGAGTTATGACATGAAGATTTTGAAAAATTGACTCTTTTTGTTGTTGTCTAGATCATGCTGTTCACAGCAATCAGGGGTTGCTTGTTTAGACATTGATGGTTATGGTGCTCATTTCGTAGTGGCAGTAACTTGTAATAGTGGATGAGCACCTCCCGGTAACCCTGGATGGTAAATCAAGTTTTAATATGTTATGTAAGGTGGACGCCTCAAGGTGGATTGTTTGGTTAAGTAAATATATAAAATTATCTTTTGGCCCAAACTAATACAAAAGGAAATGTAGAGAGCTGAATGGGGTCATGGGATAGTCATTTGATTAGTTAGACAAATAAAAGTAATAATAGTTTGTCTTATTGATTTTGTTTAAGTTCTGGTAGTCCCATAGGTATGGCCCTTTCAAGTTTGGATGGTCAGCTTTGCTTGGAAGTTGGGGTGCCCATTATTTTTGTAGGAAGACTTGATGACTTTTTGTTCAATGATACTAAAAGTTGCTTGCAGCTGCTACTCTGCTACCGTCTCATTGTGGACATGGAAGTAGCATAGATTCATTTGGATTCAACGTTTTTCTACAACCTATTGGACTAAGAATTAGCCTGATACTGAATTGAGGTGTTTTTGGGTATTTTGCAGATCTCTATCAAGGTCTAGATCTCCTGTGTCATCTGTAAGTGTTTTGTATCTTCGCATTTCTCTTTAGATTAGGGAGTTAAAATTTTCTGTACTTGATCTTGTAAATCTGTTAACTTTTAACCTGCTTTGATACTGTGTAGCTACCTCGCCCTAAGCTTATCAGAGCAAGCCGCAGCCGAAGCAGGAGTATGTCTTCTTCTCGTTCTTCGGTATGTTCACTTTTTCTACGTTTGGATTTGATTCTGATTGTTGGACCTGTTGTTATATTCTTAATGTTTTTGAGGATTATTATTTTAGGGGAGATCCTATTGAGACCTTTATGGTAACAATGGGCAGGTAGTAGCTGAATAAGCAGATGTATTGTAGGCTGTTATAGGATGTTAAAGAAGTTGGCTAGTGTATCTGGTTATCTTGCGGACTTCGTACGTTGTCAGCCTCTGGAGGTCGAGCATCATAATCTTGCTGGCTAGCTCGAGTTGTAGAAACTATGATGTACTTGACTCATGTAGTTTAATGAATCCGTATGTCTTCCCTAATTGCTTAGCCAACTAGAAAATATTTATACCTGAACTTACTTTGATAATCTATGCTTTTTATTTGTTTCATAATCACCTTATATACGATGTTCTGGGCCATCTTCAAATAGTATCGGCTGTAGCTTGGTGTTTCAAGCGTTTAAGCTACAATTTTCTAGAGGAGAACAACAAATTAGCAGGATGGATGTTGCTCTCTGATTTCAAGCAGACCAAATTGCTCTTAGGCTTCATTTATTTCTAGTTAGTGATAAGTTGTTAAGTGTGTTTGTTTTTAGGTTCAGTTTGTGTTTGACTAATCACTCTGAAAAGCACTTTTGCACAATAATTTGTGTTTGGCCAAGCTTTTCAGAAAGTGCTTTTAAGTATCAAATTACGAATAAGGACATGAATAGATTTGTTTAATAGTTAATATTATAAGTAAATAAATAATCTAAAAAATTTGTTATTACAGGCAATAAGTAAATCTTTTTATTTTATTTAAGTAAAATATGAAAATAAAATTTAAAAGTACTTAATTCTTTTAATATAAGTTAAATATATTAAAAATTATTCAACAAATATAAAAATATTCACCCCTAAAGTCACTATATATTAGAAAGTTATCCTAAAATTAATAAGAAATATTTATACATTAATATCCTAAGTATTAGGTTTAATGGTTATTTTGGTATATGCTATATTTTGTTAAGAGTATTTTTGGTAATAAGAAAAGTCAAAACTTCTTCTGCTTTTGGAAAGAAGCTATTTTTTTTGCTTCTCAGTAACTGCTTCTGCTTCTTCCCAAACGCACATTTTTTTCCAAAAAAGCTTGATCAAACACCTCAAGTTAGAAAAAAAAATACTTTTGAGAAAAAAAAAATACTTTTTCCCTCTTGAAAAGCTTGGCCAAACAGGCATCTCAATTATCAAGGGCATTTGTTTTCTTATTTTGCGCAGTCCATGGGTTTGAATAGTTTTGAATTATTGGGATGTATAACCAAGTTTTAATATCATTAGCATCACCACTTTCACAGACAACCACATCAATCACAATCACCACCGCCACGCACCAAACAATATTGGTTACCATCAATAATTATTACAACATAGTTATCAATTACTATTGATGTTCAGTATCGTCACCTACGATTATATATCTCATTTATTGTTTACCGCTATCCATCATCACCATGTTAGCTAATAATTATCATCCATCATAATTATCAACTATGATCACCAACTACTACCATTTAGCATAGGTGGAGCTACTTCGTCCATTATGGGCTTGACTTAATCTAATAGCCTTAGTCCAAATCATGTATTTGTCCTAATCCACTCAATATGTTTATTATTAATTTAGAAACTTGTAACTTAAAAAGACTAAAATGGTGAATCCATAAGCTTTAGATTATGAATTTACCTTTTTCACCAACCATTATTATTAACTAGTATTATCAGTCACCATCACTATTAGTTACTACCCATAGAAAAATTACCAATCCCTCACGCTTGGCACTAGTGAGGTTTTAATTTTGAGAGAAATAGAAGCAACCACCGACCACTATCCCAATCGGCACTCACAACCATCACTAACTAAAATATTATTTTTAAAAAATATTTTGATATAATATTAGATTAATTAGTATTTTTTTTAGTTTTATATTTATTAGTTTTCAAAAAAAAGAAATGCAAGTTTTATACATCCAAATGTTGAAGAACAAACAATCTTAATTATTTAGTATTCAGATCTTAGTACAAAACTTAATATTCATATGTATATTCAGATTCAGACATCTTAATTTTAACGAAAAGGGCTAAAAATACCCTTATCGTCTGGTAAATAATTTACTTTTACCCTCAGTTCACCTATTGGTCTAAAAATGTATACAATATTATTTTTTGGTCTAAAATTACCCTTGCGACTGACGGAAATTTCTGTGGTCCTCTTTTAATGTGTTGGCAGCACGTAGTTGGGCCATGTGACTTCCTTGTCCAGATCAAATTTAACCTGCTCCAAATTTAAACCCTGAAATATTTATCCCTATTGAATTCACAACAACACCCAATTTTCTGTAGTACTAGCTTAATTCTTTTTCTCGTTATTTGTCTTAGTTAATAATAACAAAACTCAATCAATTGCACGCTTTGACTTGATAACAATTCTAGCTGAAATAGTAGGTAATTAACGATAAATTTCCGTGAGTTCGACACTCAATTCATCACTATTACTTGTTGACCACGTATAATTACGTGTACATTTAGGAGCAACAGAATCTTTAGCCCGTTGTATCATTTATAACTTGGCTTGGCCTTAGGGTTCTCTCTAGTCCCTAATCGCTTCTAATACACATCGTACACTTATTATTATGTCCAAGAGATATTCTTCATATTATAAATCCTCGTTTACATATGATTAATATAATTAGCATACATCAAACTTCTTAATGGCTTATAAATATTTAAATATTTTTCGAGGTACTACAACTAGAGTTTCACCAATAGGAAAACTTGAAACTCCAGCATAGTGTCATACAGTTTCACTTATAAAAGATTAAAACTTCAGCACACTATATTAGAGCTTTTCTGTATTTAAGTAAGGGTGCTTTTATGTAGTAAATTTCTTTTGGCATTAATGAGTGGCTAATTACTGAATAACGTTGAAGTAGTGGCTAAAGCTTAATTAAAAGTCTGAAAAGTGACTATCTGCCATTTTCATCCCAATAGTTGAATTGCAGCCTCGAGGGTACACCAAGGGCAATAAGGACTTCATTGATTAACCGAGTGGTGCTTTGGAATTTCACCGAAGTTCTCTCTTCTACCAACAGACAAACATGAAACTTGATACTCATAAAAGCTACCAAAATCGCAATTACACTGCTCTCATTTTCTTCTATTAAGATTAAAACGTTTGAATTAGAATACATCTCATTAATAAGATGTGTATTAAAATTATGGAAAAGGTCTAAAAATACCCCTATAGGTAAATAATTTACTTTTACCCTCCATCCACCTATTGATCTAAAAATGCATACAACTTATCTTCTAGTCTAACATTTTCCCCGCGACTGACAGAAATTTCTGTGGTCCCTTATTTTATGTGTTGGCACCACGTAATTAGGCCACATGGCTCTCTTGTACCCAACGAAAGCTTTGACCTCATCCTCATCCTCACTAAGCGCCACTAGTGCTAACGGACCTTCAACCTCCTTACCATCATCACCCCCTCCACGAGTCAACAGATGTGTTTTCATCTTTATAGGGACGAATTGGACTGCCAGCCGCAATCCCCAACATTTCTCTAGTGGCCCCAGAAAGCGGGTAATCGGTATTCAACTGCATCTTCTCTTCCTTTGACACCCCAAGCTGCCGCATCATCAAATTCAGTGTCCCACAGATATATCGACTGGAGTTCTCCTCGTGCTTATTCCTTGCGGCGATGCTAAACTTGGTAGTGGTATCCAACAATGCAGTGATATCCAGCACACCCCTTGGTAGCGTCCTCCACCTCATCATACCATGGTTACTTAGGACCATCGAGAGACAACATATATATTTGGTTAGCACGTTACCAAAGAAAAATCATTTTATCTTGTGCCCGAACCTCATGCGAGACATCTCTCCCAACATAATCTCTCCAATATTTACCAGCCTCCCAGTCATCAAGAAGTATATCAAGCACACTCTAGCCCAAGTGCATGTAGAGTTATGCTCAACTCACATGAGCCGTGCATGTACAAAGTTCTGTCACACCTTGGCAGCCTTGTTAAAATCCACCCTCAGCATTTCATTACGTGTGCGAGGTTTTGTCATTGTCCACTTAGCAGTTGAGTCGACTCCACAAAGTGTGTGATGAATGGCTGTGTAGGTCGGACTTTTCACAAACTTCTAAGAATCTTCAGGTTAGGACTCTCCGCCCGTAGAAACTTGCATAAGTCATATCTTTCAAGGTTGACCTCCTTTCCCCTCACCCAATATTTGAACTTATCTGGATTCCAGTTTGCGTACAATTCTTTGACCATGCTCAAGTTTGTATGCCCAGGAGATTCCAACAGTCGATCCATCTTCAAACTTTTCATCTTCTCAAGAACATGGGGGAAGTTCCTATCTAAGGCAGCTATATTATTACCCATCTCCGAGACGTACCTCCCATATGTCTATGGTGCCATTTAATAGCATCTTCTCATACCAACATCACCTTTGGACGCGACCTTGTAGGTGTCTTGCCGGATCCCTCAGCTACTTGCTTACCCTTGGCCTACTTATTGGAGCTGGCCTCACCTTGCATACATTTCTTGGGAGGGGGCGTAGTAGTATAGGACTTCCCCATAGCCTTAGCCTTTCCTGGAGCATCACAAGCCATTGCAACCTGTAGCAAAATCAAGTAGCATATGAAAATCTACCTAGAAATTGAACCAATGCAAAAGTAAAAGTCAAGCACGACCCCACATGTCACGACCCAAACCGATAGGCCGCGACGGGCACTCGGTATCTTACTCAACTGAGTACCAACGTAACGTATCTTTCTTATTATATCATTATATACACGTGACATATGGGCCTAATAGGCCAACATGATCATTTATAAATTGAAAACATAGGCCGACAAGACCGTACAATCTTTCACGTACACGACATCTGTCTACAAGCCTCTAAGAATACATAATTTTCATAAAGGTCGGGACACAGTTCTGCCATACCAAACAATACACGTCTAAATCATACTAACCAAATGGAGCACACCAACATCTTTTGCTGAGATGATAGCCTACTTGGAGGGCTCTCGACTTGTCTATCGGGACCTGCGGGGGCATGAAATGCAGCATCCCAAGCAAAAGGGACGTCAGTACGAATAATGTACCGAGTATGTAAGGCACATAAATAAGTACATAATAGACATGGAAGAAATATAGAGTAAATGACTCAACCTATAAGTCTGGATAACTCTGTAAATTATGAAATAATTATAGTGTCATGCATATGCGTATGAATGTCATGTCGTGCATAAGTACATGTTTCATAACATCATCAGACCTCTAAGGGCATCCCATCATATCATCTCGGCCACCATGGGCAAAATCATCAACGTATACCAGCTGATCAGGTGGTGGTGCGTATATAACGCCATAACCT